ATGTTGTAAAAGTTTGTTGTCTTTGTATATTAATAACATATATAACAAGTTAAACTATGATATTATTACTCTTCCTCTGTCATATTTTACTAAGACTTTGTGCCTCCTATCTCTTGCTGAATTGTTTACTGGTAATGTTAAAAGGAATTGATAAATCATTTTCACTTTACATTTTTATATATCCAGGTAACATGAAATATGATTTGATGTACAGTTAATGCTTGTTACAGAAGGTGTGACAATGATAATGGTTTATGCACAAAAGATTTTGGCATGCATGACAAGGCTAAATAAATAGCTATTTTACCTAAAATTAGCTTTGTCTTATATCAACTCCCTTTGGGGGGGGGATCACAAGTAAAATTTTAAAGATGATAAACCTTTTAGGTGTTAGATAATACATAAGTCCTGTCTCCAATTTTTAGCCGTCAAAAGAACTTATTTTGTAGTAAGGTTCTTTAAATTTTATGCTTAGAGCTTCATGTATTTTTTTGTTTCCTAATAAAAAGATTGTATATGTATATTCTTGAGTGCATTAGAAATTTGAAGGACTTTTTATATCCACATGAGTTTGTCAGAATTCTTTTTAATGAAAGTTTTTTCAGGTTGTCAGTCGGTTTCACTACACACATAAAAGTACAGCCAGTGTTTAATCCAGTATGTGTTGATTATATCCTATATAAGCAGACATTCATTTTATTAGATTGGAGAAGAAAGTGATCTAGCAAAATACTATATTCCCTCTGGCTAGTGTTGACTATCTGAAAATTACCTTATTTTGATTGTAGCCATAGCAATCTTCCGTAGGGTATGGAAGAATATTTAACAAGATAGAAAGTCCATATTTTATTTCTCTCCACAAAGCCACTTTTCCTTGAAAAACCTTACTGCTGATTTCATAAACACAGAAACTCACCATCAGATTGATTAATACTTCATGGCAGCCTTCCAGGACAGAGAACTGCCCCATCGAGTTTCCTATAGATCACAGGAGAAGCAGATTTCTCCTGCAGAGCCCCTGATGGGTTCAAACTGGCAGCCTTTCTGTTAACATCCGAACACTTCAGCACAGTGCCATTAAGGCTCCTTTATAAGACATAAGCATTATTACTTAAATATTACAATGTAAGTACAAGAAAATGGATTCATGTGTGGATATGACACTTGGCTTTTTATACAGTGGTTTTGGTTGCTTTTAGTGTATTTCAGTGTTTTAAGTATATGAATGTACTAAATTTATCACAGAATATGCTCCTATTCCTTTACACAAGATGTACTAAAAGCCTGTTGGCACATTTTCTTTTGTTCATGAAGAATAATAGACTATCCTCAGAGAAACTTAAGAAAACCATAGTTCTTCAGACTTATAAGAGCAATTTATGGGTTTTAAGAATTATCAGTTTTCAGTTTATAAACACTCATTTAGCATTTCATTAAGAATTTTGGAAGACTCATCCATTGTCTTATTTGAAAACTTCCATATTTTATCAAAATTTTATAAGAAATATATAGTATCTTAAATTCTACTGTATTAGTACATATTTTCACCTTACCTCAGTGAAAGCCAACAGCAACTGATTGGCTATGAGGTCTTTATGTCCATACATTAGAATTGAGTTAGAACAGTTTATTTTGGGAGTGGATGTAGGCAGATCATGTTTTCCTACCAGCCAGTTAGACCTAAATTAGATTAGTAAAATCCAGAAGCTCCCAGAGACTCCTAGGTTGAAATCTGTAGGTATCAACAGAGGTACTTAGCTATCATAACTTTTGAAGGAACTCTCTATAACTTGGAAAATTAGATATTTCACCCACAGACTGAGAAAAAAATATTTGGTAGTGACATATCTGACAAGGGATTGATAACTAAAATTTATAGTATACTCCAGCACCTCAACAAGAAAAGGTAAACAGCGCAGTCACAGAATGGCCACAGGATATGAATAGACACTTCACCGAAGACATTTAGATAGCAAACAGATGAAATTCTCACCAGTGGACCAATTGGCAACGTCAGGATGGATGGTGAAGAGATTGAGATTGGTCACAGCTTTAATTTGCTTGGCTCCACAGTCAATTCTTGGTAATAGCAGCCAGGAAATTAAAAGACGTATTGCATTGGGAAAGTCTGGTGGGGACCTCTCTAAAGTACTGAAGAGCAGTGATGTCTCTAGAGACTAAGGTGCATCTGATACAGGCCATCTTTGCAATCACTTGTTATGCGTCTGAGAGTTGGATAATGACCAGGGAGGATAGAAGGAGAATTGATGCCTTTGAGCTGTGGTGCTGGAGAAGAGTATTGAATGGAACATGGACTGCTAAGAAAACAAACAGGTTCAGCCTGGAGGGGTTAAATTGGGCTGCTCCTTGGAAGCAAGGATTCTGAGGCTTTATCTGCATACTTTGGTCATGTTGTAAGGAGGCACCGGTCCTTGGAGAGGGACATCATGCTTGAGAGGGTGAAGGGACAGTACAGGAGAGGAAGGCCCTCTATGAGGTGGATTGATTCAGTGACTGAATTGGGTAATTGGGATGGGTGTATCGGAGACAGTGTGATTGGCACAGGATAGAGCAGAGTTTAAGGCTGTTGTACATAGGATCGCTATGAGTTACCAGTGACTTGACAGCACATAACATCAGAGAAATTAAAATCAAAACAACTATGAGATCTCTTACCCCAGTAACAACAGCAAAGTTCAGGAGAGCAGCAAACAAACTGGTAAGGTTGTGCAAATTGGAAGCCTTATTCACTGCTGGTGGGAGTGTAAAATGGTGCAACATAGTGAAAGGCAGTATGGCGAATTCTCAGTAAGGTGGAAAAAGAAATAGTATTTGACCCAGCAGTTCCACTACTGGGAATAAACCCTAAAGAAATTAGAGTTGCCACCCAAACATATGATAGATGCACTTTCAGCTTTACTACTGTGTTAAAATAGCAAAGAAATGGAAGCAACCAAAGTGCCCATCAACAAATAAATAGAAAAAATAGGGAATATTTACACAGTGGAATACTACACAGCATTGAAAAACAAGGAACTTGTAAAATGTTACACAACATGGGTGACCCTAAGGGATAGTATGCTGAGTGAAATATCTGTCACAAAAGGGCGGATACTACATAACACCACTGTTAAAAAACAGGACTGACATGGGGGGTTAGGGGGAAACTAGGAAAAGGATAGAAAAAACTGCATTGGAACAACTGAAGGACAAAACTTTAAAAGGGATATATGATTAGGCATTAGTATGACAACAGTCAAGAATAAGGTGCACTGCAAAGTGGGAGAGGGAGGAAATTGCAACAATGAATGAAAATACAATTTTTCTGTAAATTTCCATTTAAATAAAAATTAGATATTTAATGTATTCAAATGAAAAACGTAAGTGGAAGTAGTATCAAGCAACACTTTTGGTAGTTAGGTGCCATCAAATTGTTTTTCAAGTCAAATTAACCTCATGTAGGGCTGCCTCAGGGCTTTTCTGAGGTATAATCTCCAGGAATAGATTGACAGGTATTTTTCTTTGTGTTTAGACCATCAACCTTTCAGATAGTCAAATGCTAATGTTACCTGGCACTTTTGGTAGTGTTTAGACTTCCAAGGGGGGGGGGGAACACGAAAAGAATTGCTATAATATTAGAGTCTCACTTCAATCCTAATGCCGCACTCCTCTTTATAGAGTCCAGCTTCCCAGATAATTGCCCAGCATGCAAATTGAATAGATAAGGAGAGATTACAACCCTAGCGCACTCCCCAGTTCCAAACCATTCAGTGTTCCCCTGCTCCTTTTGCACAACAGCCGCCTAGTCCGGGTATAGGTTCCACATGAACACAATCAAGTGCTCTGGGATTCCTGTTCTCCTTAGTGTCAGCCACAACTTGTTATGATCCACACAGTCAAATGCCTTTAAATAGTCAATAAAAACAAGCCTTTCTCAGGTATTCCTTACTGTCAGCCAGGATACACAGCCTGCCCACCAGATCCTGTTTGCTTAAACAAAAGGCTTCCAGCCCACAGCTGATTATTAACACAATCAAACAGCCAGTTTCCACCCAGTTTTCAAATAACCGCATTATGCAGGTGACACAACCTTGCGTGCTGAAGTGAAGAGGACTTGAAGCACCGCTTGCGGAGGATCAAGGAACACAGCCTTTGGTAGGGATTGCTTCTAAAATGTCAGAAAAGCAAAGATTCCTAACCACGGGACTGATAGTGTCATAATGGAGAGGAGATTGAAACTGTCAACAGCTTCATCTTGGCTTGAATCCACCGTTAACACCCTTGGTAGGAAATAAGGAGATGCATTACACTGGGAAAATCTGCAGTTAGGGACCTTTCCAAATTATTGAGTTAAGATGTCAGTTTGAAGACTAAGGTACATCTGATTAAGTCTTGCTTATCAGTTGCTATGCATCTGAGAGCTGGTCCATAAATAAGGAAAAGAATTGATGCCTTTGAGCTATATAGTGTTGGAGTAGAGCACTGAAAATCCCATGGATGGCAAGAGAACAGACAGCTATGTCTTGGAGACGGTTCAGTCAGAGTGGTCTGAAGGCAAGAATGCTGAGGCTTTGCCTCACATACTTTGGGCATGTTGCTAGGAGGTGCTATTCCTAGGAGAGGAACATCATGCTGGGGAAATGTGAAGGGTCACCAAAGGAGAGGAAGCCCCTCAACCAGGTGGATTGACAGGGTAACTGCTGCAGTGGGCTCTTGTATATCAGGAAGTGTGAGGATGGCGCAGGACAGAACAAGGTTCAGATCTTTTGTTCTGAAAAGATTTTTTGTTGCTGTGTCATACTTGACTCCATGGCACCTAAAAACAATAATATGAGATAAAATAATGTTTGTGAAATAATTCATTGGTTCTAGGTAATAGCAACCAGTGTTACTTTTTTAGTTACTGAAGCTTTTCTGGGACGTTACCAAGGTAACTAACTGACAACCCAGGCTGAGATAGCAGCCTGGGAAGTCCAGGGTGTGTTGGAGTCACGCTCAGCATGGAGCAGAAGGCACTGAAGAAACTAGTTGAATCCATAAGTAAAACTGTCAAGAGCTGTAAGTACTGAGCAGACTTCCAGCACTACCTGAACCTCTTTATTCAACCAAATACAAATGTAGGTTGGCATTCTAGTTAGATGTCAACAAGTGCTTTGCAACCCTAAAATAAAGTCTCTGCTTCCTAATATTTTGACCATTAAAAAGTAGGTAAGCAAGTAAACAATGCCTACAATTTACTAAAAAAATTTGATCAGTATCCTAAAATATATCTGGGCATGAAAGAACACTCACAGATCCTATGAACTTTGAGAAATGATGTTACAGAAAGGCTTTAGATTTTCTGTTCATAGCGTCACTATGAGTCATGCTCAACTTGATGGCAATCAAAAAAATTTTAAATTGTAAAGGTTTGCTTTGACTATTTGCCTGAGTTCTCTAGCCTCGAAGAATGATTTCGCACAAATCCCAAACTGGCAAGTGATGGGGTGCTCCTGTGGATGAGCAGTGAGAGAGAGACAGGTAAGATGCCTTTGGTGTTGAAGAAATAACACTGTATGTTGCACCTGGTGTTTATTGACACTAATCACATTTATTAGGTCTTTTTAAAGTTACATTGTGAATTTTATTTCTCAGACATGACCACAAGAAACTGACAGTTTTCAGAGAAATGGTTTTTAGCAGTTAAAGAACTTTCTATCAGCCAGTGTTCCACAGCCTCCATATTGGACACTTCAGCTTTTTCAAACGACCTTGAGGGTAGATAGGCTGTGTCTCACTGAAGAGTCTCATGATAGAATTACTTCAGGTTTTTCTTATTCCAGTTGGGTTTTAAACTGGCACAGTTCCTCAAGCATTCATACGGCCTCTTGATCCATCCTTGTGTATCCCTTAAGCTAAAGAACAGTCCTTTGGATTTAGCCAGTGCTTAATATAATAAATTTCTGCTGTCACTTGCTGCTCTCTTAACAGTCTGAACATTCAAAAGGAATTTTGCATACTATTAGAGTATTACTTTCTCTCCCCATCTTTTTTTTTTAAAGTTTTTTCCTCTCTTAATCTTAATGAAAGCCGGTGTAGCGATATCGTCTATCTTTAAACATACTTCGCTTCATAATTTATTGCTTGTAACTCTTTGAAATAGAGGGGTTATGTAATGCTTAATCAGGACCATGTTTCTTTATAGTCTGCTACAGAATAGATATTTGTAATTGAGAAAGAATGCGGCAGTTTTCCAATACATCTGATATTATTAAGATCAGCCATTTCCTCAAGTTCTTAAACCAGTGTAACTAGATTATTCATATACATGCACTACTATGGACTATTTTATAAAAGTCTAGAGCAAGTAGAATTTCTACCCTTGTACTTCAAATGTTCTCTAGAGCTACACTGTCCAGTATAGTAGCCATGTATGACTATGTAATGTTGTTGTTAAGTGCCATTATAGACAACTCATAGTGACCCTATGAACAAAAGACCTGAATGCTTGTTTAACTTTCATAGTTTCTCCATGTTCATAGAGTTTCTGGAGGCAAGCTATTTTGGAAGTGGATGCCACTTCTGCTTCCAAGCTTGTTTTAATCAGGAGCTCCACCAAACACTGTCCACTATGGGTAACCATATTGCATTTGACACACCAGTGTCACAGTGTTCAGCTTCATGGCAACCAAAAGTTACCTCTGTACAGCAAAATGGACAGACCAGTGCTATATCACTTAGAAGAATGTTTGACCTAAAACAATTAAAACCAGGCCTGAGGGTCACAGATTAAAATCATCCATCTTTGCCTTGGTAGCATAACGTTCTATCCACTAGGCCAACAGAGCTCTATGTTAAGTAAAATGGAAAATTCTGTTTCTTGGTCGCAATAGCCACATTTCAGGTGCTACCAAATTGGGTGCGTCTCTCGGACATTTCCATCATCTCAGAAAGTTCTGTTGGCTAGTATCTTCTAGAATTGTGCGTCATCTAACTTGCCATCCAAAGGTTTGTAGTTGCTGTAAAGTTGTCTACAACTCCTGATGATACCCTGAGGAGTGCAATGCTCCACTTGTGCCACGATTGGTTGTAGATCACAGCTGTTGGTGAGCAGACCTGGCTCATAGTCAGGACGCTCTGCTGAAACCTGTCCAAAATCAAGCATCACACAGTCCTTCACTGACAGATACCGGCTGCGCATAAGGTGCATGAAGCTCGTAAGAGCGGCAGGTAAATGCAGGAATAAGCACAACTCTAAAAGCACAGGCTACAGAGAAGGGGAAAATGGTGGGTGGGAGGAGGACCAACAGGCAGGCATTTCAGGGGCAGTAGTATCTGAGACTTGTTGGAGACATGAATTGTTGAGGTAACCATGAAAAGATGTAAAATAAGGTGGTGGTTTAGGAGACCGGTAAGGGTTTAGTACGGCGGGAATATAGGGAAGGGCAGGAATTTGCAAAGCAAAGCTGTAGAAAGTTTTATCCCATGTCCTGATAGGATGTAATGGAAAAGAGTGCATCTGTTGTGTTCTTCTCAATATACATGACTGATCCTATGGAATACATGACCAAGTCTGTGGAAAAATAAGGCACGTGGAGGAACATTCTACAAAATTCCTGACCAGTACTTTTTTTTCAGCCTCTGAGTTTTTTGGGTTTTTTTTTAAATTTCCATTTATTCATTGTTGCACACCTTCCTCCCTGCCCACCCCTCCCCCCAATTCACTTTTCTCTTTGACAAGTAAAAAAAAATCATATAATCCCTCCACCCCACCTCAGTCCACTACACTATGCAAGTTTCATTCTAGACTCTTGTCATACAGTAATTGTCATACAGTAACACCTAATTATATATTCCTGCTAAACAGTTCTCTCCCTCATCTGTTTCAATGCACTATATATTATTTATCCCCTCTTAGTTTTCCCCCCAATACTGCATAGTGCATAGTGGGGTGTTAGTCTCACTTTACAACAGTGGCACTATGCAGTATTTGTCCTTTTGTGACTGAGATATTTCACTCAGCCTAATGTCCTCCAGGGTCACCCATTTTGAATAATATTGAATGAGTTCCTTGTTTTTCAATGCAGCATAGTATTCCATTGTGTGAATATACCACAGCTTCTCTATCCATTCGTTTGTTGATGGGCACCTGGGTTGTTTCCAAGTCCTTGCTATTGTAAACAAAGCTGCAATAAACATGATTGAGCATATATCTGCTTGGGAGGCAGTTATGATTTCTTTAGGGTATATTCCCAGCAGTGGAATTGCTGGGTCAAATGGTATTTCTATTTGCAACTTTTTGAGAAAGCGCCATACAGCCTTCCATAGTGATTGCACCATTTTATATTCCCCCAAACAGTGAATAAGGAGGGTTCCAGTTTCTCTACAACCTCACCAGCATTTATTGTTTGCTGTTCTGTTAAATTTTGCTATTCTTACTGAGGTGAGATGATATAGTTGTTTTGGACCAGTACTTTTCAAGACAAATGGTCTATGAAAAACTCACACTGAAACCTCTCAAATTGGAGGAGGCTCTGGATTGGATCCTGGAACCAAGAGCCAGTGAAATTATAATCAAGTATTATTTTTTTTTCAAGTATTATTTTAAATAGTCATAAATTAATATTGTTTTTACAAAGTACCATGGCCATATAAGATGTTAATGTGGAAATTCTCTGCAAATCTAAAATTGTCTGAAATGAAAAATGTAGAACTGTGAATTCATCAGCAGGACCTCAGTGCTATTTCAATTGTGCATGATTTTCTCAAATAGCATTTATGGTGGTTGAATGTCATGAGACGTAAACATAGATAAAACTCAGAAGGTGGAGGTAAGGCCTGGTATCTGCATCTCTTAACAAGCGTGGGGTGATGGTAAGAGGACCAAGTCATGCACAGATGGTCACCCCATGAGCTGTTGTGTTCCAGTAAAATCAATGTTAATCCTCTGGCCAGACATAAAGGGCTACTTTTTTTTTTTTAAAGGGCTACTTTTAAACTTGGTTTTTCACTTCTCCTATTATTGTTGTGCTTCTAGTAAGGCATGTTCAGTGTCACTCCAGTCCCATCTAATTCTCTTCCCCATTTGGACTTATCACCAACAACACAATACTTATTATGCTTCCTTTAAGGTCCAGTACACAGTTCAAGACTATGAAAAATGGCCCAGCTCCTCTTTGTAAAATGGCCCAGCTCCTCTTTGTGTAGGGATTTTTTTCATTGTATGGTAAGCTTTGTGGTGGCTATGACAGGAACAGAGCATATATTTTGTCAATCCTCAAGGCCTTCTGCTTGAGGCCCGCCTTACGTGTAAACTCTTAACAAATTCATGCCATACTTTGTATCACCAGAGCACTTTCTTCATAGGAAGAAAATAGCTCCTTAGTAAAATAAATTGGATGGGGTTGAAAAACAACTCAGTAATTGATGCCAAATTATATTTATGTCTTCATTTTACAGTTCAAAAAAGTGAAGTTGAGTGTCTCATAAGACTTTTTCACAGCTTGGTGAAAAAAGATGGAAAAGTTGATAAGATTGGGTTAGATCGAAATACATTTCAAGGAATCCTACACAACATATTTGGAATGACTGATGACATACTCATGGATAGGGGTAAGAACTCGTCAAAGATTGAAATAAAAGTAGAGAGGTAGGAAATTGTACCTCTGTTTAGGGGTGTGTGTGTGTGTGTGTGTGTGTGTGCTCAATTTTCATCAGATTTTTTTTTAATGTTAAATTAGAACAGCATAGGTCTTGTGGTTATACACCATCGAGTCCGATCCAGTTCCTAGCGGATCCTCTGGCAGGTTTCCAGAGGCAGTGTACATCAAATTGGAGGAGATTGCCCATCTTTCTCCCATGGAGCAGCTGGTAAATCTGCACCCCGTGCCTTTGGGTTGACAGTGCAGTGCCCACCACTAGGTTCCCAGAGCTGGTATAGTTCTGGTAGGGCTAGCAAACCCCAGTAAACTGGCTTACTTGGAAGCATGGTTCTTTTTAGTGCATGCTCAATTTCACATAGTTGCACAAATCTGAGAAATAATGTACTAAATAGTAGTATTGGTTTTGCTGGGGGGGGTTTAGTAGTATTTTTTTTTAATTTTTATTTTTGTGTACTGTTGAATCGGATCTGACGGGCACTGGAGGAGATTGCCCCTCCTTCTCCAGCAGAGCATCTGGTGGATTGCAGTGCAGCTTCTTTGCCACTAGGCCATCAGATCTCCCTCGTAGTATTATTTTTATAAAATATTTGGCTCTTACTTCTTTGAAGTCACATGCCATGGGTATGTAAATTATTCTTTTTTTCTAAAAAAGGAATCCATTTTTTTTAAAAAACCCTCATACTGAAAAAATGCAAAAGATTAAAAATAGGAAATTACATAACAGATTTTTGTTGGTTTCATAACAAATTTTTAGGATAATGTGTGCTCAGTTTTAACATGTGTATACACCCATGAACCATGTCCACACCCAAAGTAATTAACATATTACCCCCCCAAAGTTTAAATGTTTTAACTTATTTTTAATTGGGTACCATTAAGGCAGCTCTAAATCAGAAACCCTATATACAGAATGAAAGAAACGCCCTCTATTCCTGTGCCATCCTCACAACCTCTGGTGCTTAAACCTCCTGTTACACTCTCTGTATCAACCCATCTCCTTGACGGTATCCCTCTTTTTTTAAATGACCCTCTACTTTCCCAAGCGTGATGTCCTTCTGCAGGCACTGGTCTCTCCTCATAACACGCCTAAAGTAAAAACTTAAGAAATGCAGATTCATTGCTGTTGGATCAAAACCAGCTCAGTGCGGACTCCTCCTGGCCCCTGCTGGGTATTCAGGAGGCTGTAAATCACACAGGATATTGCCCATCTTCCTCTTGCCAGAGCAGTGCCACTTTTCAGTTACTGTAGTAGTTAACAGACTGTACCACTGGAGTTCCCTCTAGCAGAAAGTAAAAGTCATTAATAATTTTAAAAAATATTTCCATAATTTAAGTTTCCATGCAAACGCTAAAATTTTTGCCACTCTTTTAGAGTATAATTATCATCACATGAACTCCTCTTATGGTAACTATCAAAGATTACAAATATGACAAAACTGCCAAAGCCTTTCCCCTTTGGACTTGAAGAGTTTTCCTGTCCATACATGCTATTGGATGGGGGAAAATGGCTCAAAATTACGATGCACATATATGTTTTTTGTTTCAGTGTTTTTTGCATTTGACAAAGATAATGATAACCACATAAATGCAGATGAATGGGTTAAAGGATTATCTGTGTTTCTTCGAGGGACTTTTGAAGAAAAGCTTAAGTGTAAGACTTCTATATTTGATTACTGCTTTATGAATATACTTTCATATTTAGCAAATGTGGAAATATTTAAGAATTATTAAACCAGTGTTCACTATTGCAATCTTGCAAAAGTAGTTCATGACAAGTTAAAAGCAGATGAAATAAATGAGTGGACCAAGTTTAAGGTCACAGGGAGCTCCTAGCGCCAGTTGCCCTAAGCATTTCCTTCATTAGCTCTGTTTGGGAGTTCTAATGTTTTAGTGGGTAAGGCGTTGCACTGCCAACCTACAGGGATGTGGTTTGAATCCATCAGCTGTACCTCAGGAGAAAGATCGGCAGCTTTTCCCATGCAGTGTGTAGCCTCTGAAAACTTCTGGAGAGTCAGCTATGATTTGATAGCAATGAGTTTGAGCCTTTTGAGTTCTGCAGAATTGAGGCCTTTGGACTGGTGTTGGAGAAAAGTGGTGGATATCGCATGGACTGCTGGAAGAACAAACAGATCTGTCTTAGAGGAGTTGCAGCCAGAGTGCTCCCTTGAGGCAAAGATGATGAAGCTTCATCTCACATAGTTTGGCCATGTTACTAGGAGAAGTTATTCCTTTGAGAGGTAAATTATCCTTGGACAGGTGAAGGGGCAGCAAAAGAGAGGCAGACCCTCTACCAGGTGGGTTGACATGGTGACTACAGCAGTGGGCTTGAGTGTGTCAGAAATTGTGAGGACGGCGCGGGATAGGACAGTGTTCAGATTGGTTAGTCACTGAGTCATGTTCAACTCAACAGCACCTAACAACAGCAATGCTCAGATATCACCAGTGTGAGCTGTTGGCTTTACTGCCTAGTCTGACAGCAAATGTCAGCAAATAAGACAGCAACTGAGGTTTCTGAGGCTGCTTCTGGGCTCAGCCAGAAGTGAGTTTTGACACTTGTGCAGTTAAAGGATGGGAAGGACCAGCACATATGTCATGCCAGGGGCATTCCTTATCTTTGTGTGTTGTCATTGTGTGCTATCGAGTTGGAACTGACTCATAGTTGACCCTCCAGGAAGTTTTCAGAGGCAATAAATCACATGGGAGATTGCCCACCACCACAAAGCAACTGGTAGATTCAAACCACGTGCCTTTGGGATTGCAGCACAGCTTCTGACCACTAGGCCATGAGATTGGTCACTAAGCCACACACGTAAACCACTGGGAATTAATGCTCAAGTATTGGTTTTGGTTTGAGAAGAGATGGAAGAGGAAAAGGGCACAAGAAAGTCAAGGCGAACTTTCCCAAAGGGAGAATGATTGACTCAAGCTTTTTTACAGAAAGGGAAAGCTAGGAATCCCAAGATAAAAATCTCCCACTTCAGTTTTGCCTGAGAATAGCTCTGGCCTCACACCCCACTGTGCCATTGGTACAGATGGTGTGTGCCCACCCCTGACACCTGTCAGGTGCTGATTTAAGAACCCTGGTATGAGAACAGGGAAGATTTTTAAGAGGCCATTTTCAAGGAATGACTTCTCTTACTAAGATGTCACCTTGCTTAAGGCTGCAAAGGATGTGCAAGATTTCTGTGTAGCTATAATTTTTTTTCTTATTCTTTCAACTTGAATTTAGAACATTGAAACTGAAGATCTCGACTGAATGAACATTCTTTAAAAGTAGCAACATTTTAAAACAGAATTTGTTTTGTTCAGCTTTTTATCTGCTTTTGGTTTTGGTTGGAGTTTTTGTTGTGTGTTTTTTATGGTGTCAGACTTGAATAGTTTGCACTCAAGTTTGATGCCGTGTTCCTATACAAAAGTCTCAGAAGGTAAAAGCTAAGTTTCACGGATGCAAATTCTTTGCGGAAATACTAGCATTTTGTGAAAGTAATTGTGATCCTGAATGCAACCATCCTTGGTTAGGTAGCATCACATTGCCAAGAAAATTTTCTCACTTCCTAAAATTACACACACATACACACACACACACACACGGGGGAAACAGTCCTAGGCAGCTCATGCTGCAAACTCTTGCTATAGAGAAACCCAACACAAAGGCACGAATAATCAGATCCTCTCTAGTTTTATTTCTGGGAAGCTCTGATGGCTTAGTGGTAAGGAATTGCGCTGCCAACTCAAAAGCATAGGGCTCAAATCCACATGCAGCTCGGCAGGAAGATGGGCAATCTTCTCCCTTAAAATTTACTGCTTCTAAAACCCACTGGAGGCTGTTATGAGTTGGTTCTGACTCAAAAGTACAGAGTATCATTGCAGTTTGCTAAACCTCACCAGAGCACCTTTGTCGTCATATTCTTGGGATCTGAGTTTTAGATTTGTGGAATGAGTGAACTGAGGTGGAGGTTACAGAGTGAAATGGAACTCACTCCAGGGAGAGACTATAATTTTGGATTTTGCAGAAGAGTAGATCCGAGAGAGATGCTGGGCAGTCCTCCTAAATAGAATAAAACCTTTGGGTCAAACTCATTAGGAATATCTTGGTTTTCCAGGTCTCCTGCCTTTGACAGGGTGCCTTCTTATGGTGTTTCTATTGCTTGTTCTTGTGGAAAAATATTTGAGTTCTTCTTCTCTGATAAGTTCTGGCTTTCACAGATTTGTCTACTGGAAAATGTTATTTGTAAGTGATAAGTAGTATCACTCTTGTAGTCTATATAAGAAAATCATAATATTGGTTATACTGTATATATTACATACACATACATACATCCAGACATTTTAAGTATGATTCTCCTTCATTTTAGCTTTTTTTAATTTATTTTATTTCCTTTTTTTAAATTTAGGTTGTTTATTTTTCATTTCAATGAACATCTACAGAGATTTTGGAATTCCATTCATTCATTGTTGCACCCTTCTCCCCGCACAAACCCCTCCCTTCATTTTAGCTTTATAACATGTTTAAATACTCCATCTTTCCTTGTTGTTGTTGTTGTGCGCCGTCAAGTCGCTTGCGACTCATAGCGACCCAGTGTACAACAGCCTTAAACCCTGCTCTATCCTGAGCCAATCTCAATGTCTCTGACACACCCATCCTGATTACCCCAGTCACTGAGTCAACCCACCTCATAGAGGGCCTTCCCCTTCTGCGCCGTCCCTCCACCCTCCCAAGCATGATGTCCCTCTCCAAGGACCCGTCCCTCCTTACAACATGTCCAAAGTATGTCAGACAAAGGCCCAGAGTCCTTGCCTCCAAGGAGCAGCCTGGTTTAACCCTCTCCAGGATGAATCTGTTTGTTTTCTTGGCAGTCTAGGGAACATTCAATACTCTTCTCCAGCACCACAGTTCAAAGGCATCAATTCTCCTTTTATCCTCCATAGTCATTGTTCAACTCTCTGATGCATAACAAGTGATTGCAAAGACCATGGCCTTTATCAGATGCACCTTAGTCTCCAAAGGGACACCATTGCTCTTCAGTACTTTGGAGAGGTCCCTAACAGCAGACTTTCCCATGGCAATGCGCCTTTTAATTTCCTGGCTACTGGTGCCGAGAGTGTTGACCGTGGAGCTAAGCAAACTAAAGCTGTGAACAATCTCAAACTCTTCACCATCCATCCTGATGCTGCCAATGAGGTGCAATAAATGTTATGTACTTTAAAGCTACTGTACCACACAGCAGAATAAACAGGAATTGTTTGTTGTATAATTTTTTTATCCTTTATCATATATTAAAATAACTAGTGATTTTTTTTCTTAAAAAATTCCCTAAACTTCACTCTCTGAAGTCTGTTTTGAAGTTTATTATTTGAATGGTGATGGCTATATTTCTCGAGAGGGAGCATTTGACATGTTGAAGAACAGTCTGCACCAACAGTCATTTGAAGAAAAGACTACTGATGAAGGAATCAAGGAACTAGTAGAAATAACCATGAAGAAAATGGTAAGAAGGAAGCATTGTAATACACTTACCACATGGATGATGTGTACATCTAAAAAGGATTACTTAATTTTCCTACAGCAATGTAACCTTCATGAAGGCAGGGGTGGTACTGCATCCTCTGCTTTACCCAGGGACTGGCTCATTATGGGAGCTCATGAGCACTTTCAGACTAGCTAGCTCAATGAATCATCATACAAAATGTTAATTTTGATATGTTATTTTACAAACAGTAAAACATCAATTTAAGAAGAACTGAGGTTTGATTCAAGTTCAATCAGATGCTGGTTTATCTTCATGATTTTACTCCTCCAATCCATCAAAACACCCATTATAACATTTTCTTTTAAAAAAAATCACTGGTGGTGAGCTCTGGTGGCCTAGTGGCAAGAAGGTGTGCTGCAATCCTAGAGGTGCACGGTTCAAATCCACCAGATGCTCTGCTGGAGGAGGAACAATCTCCTCCTGTACCAGTCAGATCTGATTTGACGGTACCCACACAAAATAATAAAAAAATTTTAAAAAAGAACAAAAAAAAAATCACTGGTTATGCCAGGTTAATCAAGGTCACACTAGAAAATAGGGTATAGAAGTTGTCTTCAAAGAAAATCCACTATATCTCTTTATTATCAGTGTTATTTCTACCTCTTCTCATTATGACCCTAAATTGCACACCAGTGAAGTTTTCTGCATCACTGGGAACCAGACCCAGCTCATCTCTGGAATCAGGAAAGAAACAAAGATGGCAAGCACTGATCCTCAGCCACTCCAACTCAGATCACTCAGTCTTTCCTGGAGAAGTACCCTCATTACTTCTGGACAGACTTTGATAGACAGTATGTTCCCCAGAACTCCCACTCAGTCCTTATTGTTTGAAAGGAAATGTTATAAACACTTTCTGACAATTATTCAAACTTTCTCTAGATCAGAATCTCATCATCTCTGATGTGGTTATGAAGTTAAAAAGACTCAGATGAATTAAGGCGTTCATAACTGACCACCTTCCCACCCCCGCAAACCCGCTGGCAAAGCCTGTGGAATCTTCCCTAGCCCTTGCTACAAGTGTCCCACTAGTTTCCACTTCTGTTCTTACCATTCAGGTGGCAACCCTGCTGCATTCCTCCCACCTCACCACCCACCTTGACTTCAACCGGCCTTAACAGCCTAGCCAGTGGGCTGCTGGGTTTTCTCACAGAACTCTAACTCATCCTGAACTCCTACTGCTGTAACTTTGTATTGCTGCTTAACAGAACTTCATACTTAACCCTTTTTCCATAAACTACCAAGTAAGAGACACTTTAATGGCCAATTCTCAATTTAAGTTTCTTGAACATTGGCCTTAATGCACTTATTTTATCACAAAAGCAGCACATGAGTTTTTTTAAAATTACGTGAATTCTTTACAGTTATGAAGTGCCCTCAAGCTGACTCAGAGCTAGGGCTATGTAATTCATGTATGCTAACTGGAATATTAGCAGCTTCCATAAATGGCTTTTATGTAAACAGTGCAAAAAAAGGTGGGTGGTTTTTTTTTTCTTTGCAAACTTTTCATCTAGACAGCTTTCTGTGCAAAAGTAAAAATTATTTACCAAGAAATTCTTTTCTACTCTAGGATTATGACAATGATGGCAAGATATCTTTTGCAGACTTTGAAAGAGCAGTGAGAGAAGACACACTTTTGTTGGAGGTGTTTGGACCATGCTTACCAGAAGCACAGGTATTAAGTGCCTACCAAATTAGAATTAAAATATAAGCATCTTTACAAACCTAAGACTTTGGACAACAATGCTTCAACACTCACCGCTATTTACATGAAATCCAGCAATGATGAAGGAATCGACACCATTCTAACATTTGTGCTTCTAACAGGACACTAGGAACTACTGGGTTACATTCAGTAAGCTTTTGTTGACCTTGCATCTCAAGCCACAACCAATTCCTGGCTAAAAACATAACTCAAAGTTTTATCCTTTCCAAACCTAAAACCAGGGTATATTTCTTTCTGGCTTGTTGTTTCTGCTGTATGCACCACAGTAACAGCAACTCAGAAAGCCCCTCTGAATAATGGATCTGAGCTCTGTTGTTAGGTGTCGTCTAGTTGAGGACGACTCATAGCAACCCTATGAACAAAAGATCTGAACCAGAGTGCTCTCTGGAGGCAAGAATGATGAGGCCTCACCTACTTGGGCTCTAAAGGCAAGTCATATAGTTATCTTAAGATTAAAGAAGTATCCGACAGATTTTCAGAGGTAGGAAAATGCACAGGAGGCTGCTCATCTTTCTTTCTCCTGAGGAGCAGCTGGTGGATTTGAACTGCCTGCCTTTGCGTTGGAAGCACACCACCTTACAGTCTAGGTCATGAAACTACTGAAACACATGATATCTTTAAATCCAAATGTTATAAATGAAGGTAAAATTGTGGACATTTCTGCTCTCAAGTTTTTCAGGTGTGAGACTAACCCAAGCTATCTGAGCTGGAAGAACCAGGCTATCACTGATCTGGCTCCTAAAATGTGTTTCCTTATTTTTCCTTTGATCCAGTAGCACTTTGCAAACACATCTTGATATATGCAGAAACCTCAGGTCCTTTCTCTAACTTGTTCACTCTTACACCCTTTAATTCTATCTGAAGATGTGGTAGAAAGCAATGTAGAAAAGGCAGACAGACTGACTTTGGCTGTTACTGACAGCAGTGTAGAATAGACTCATGTGGACTATTTAATGAGTCCAGCTGTTCCCAGAGAGTGTATCTGTAGTGAGTTAGGCCTGCTCTACAGTAGCAGCCCTAGCATCACCTGAGACTTTAAGGAATTAGAGTATCGAGTCCTATGCAAGGCATTTTATAAGACCCTGTGTGATCCACCGTAAAGTCCTGTTCTTCGACTTTCACCTGAGATTTCAGCAAGACATTATGTATCACCTGCAAGTAGTGACAACCTCCTTCTTATAATTTTGGTACCACACATGGAAAGATACAGGGTCAGAGGAGGAGAGGAAGACCCCCAAAGAGATGGACTGACATAGTGACTTCAGCAATAGGTTCCAATGTGTCAGAGATGAATATGGCACAGGGTAAGCAGGGTTCAGGTTGGCTGTTCAGTTATCAAGAGTCATAACGGATTCAACAGCACCTAACAACCACCGCCACCATCTAGTATCATCCTACTGTGTGTGTATCAATAGGTCATAAGCTGAACCTCATTAAGTGAGGTGTTTAAAGTCTATGCAATAAACACTTAAGGGTATAGGGCAAAAAGAAAAGCATTTTGTATAGCCCTTCTCAAACTCCTAGGATTAGAAAAAAAAGAAACACTTGGATTTCAAATTACATGTTCTAGTGACTGAAAAAGAAAGCAAAACAAAACATGGATGTGTCAGATTAGTTGTACAAGTCTAACACATTCTTTTTGTTTGGTCATAGATCAAGTATAAAGTCTCAGCATTTTAGCTACTGGAAGCAGGAGTGGCATCCACTTCCTAAACAACATGTCATCAGAAACTCTACAAACTTTGATAAATGTTGATAGTTGTAGAGGAACTTCAGGCCTTTTGTGCATAGGGTCGCTATGAGTTGTGCTCAACTCAAAGGCAATCAACAACAACAATATTTTCACTTAAAACATGTTAAATTGTATTTCAGTTTGTTCTAAAAGTTTATTATTAACTTCTTTACTTTACAGAAGTGTCTTGAATTTGAAGATACGGCATTCAGAAATACCCTGACTTCTGCTAACTGAATATGAACACAGGCCTCTTTCCACTTATCTGCAGATCTTGAGGAGTCTTTGCCAAATCAGTAACAAAACCAGAAACTTAATCCTGGCCATCTACTTTTATTTATACTGCAAAAAAATCTACATTTGAATCAGTTAGTTTATATCAGTAGTTATTATAACCTGAGAAGTAATTACAATTTTAAGATATGTATCAAAACATTTACATATGGAATGACAAACTATAATTTCAGAAGACACTATATTAGACAAAGAGCTTGAACACAGTTACAAAGAAGAATACATTAAACAATACCACTAGGAAAGTCTCTTCAAGAATGAAAATAAAAAATAACCAATTTATAAAATAAGAACTTTCTGCTGGAAGTCTATATTCTTCTTCTTTGTTTTCGTGGATGATTTTTAAGCACATCTTCTGGTTTGTCTTCTGAAGGCTTTGGCAAGGGTAAGATTACCTAATTAGGGGGAAAAAGAAAACCACCAAAACTTAATTATTGTGCAAGAGTAAAAAAACTACTAAAGGAGGCAGTTCAATCCTGAACATTATTTTTAAGGGAATTCACCAAGTTTAAGGTACAACCAGGCACAGAACAAAGTTTGGTCTAAATATTGATGGGAGTAAAATTTCTAAAGAATTCCATAAAAAGAATGTTGAGAGGAAAAAATTTAGTGTATGGTCTAATAATCATTTTTAGCTTTAAACGTATTTTAGGTACAGAAATATATTTTGATATGTAATTTGAAACTCTTTAATATATTATAGATTTAGAGACTTGGCCAACTGACTGGAAGAGATCTATATTTGTTCCCATTCCAAAGAAGGGTGACCCAACAGTGTGGAAACTATCGAACGATATCATTGATATCACACGCAAGCAAGATTCTACTGAAGATTATCCAAAAACGACTGGAACAGCACATCAACAGAGACCTGCCAGAAGTCCAGGCTGGGTTTAGAGGGGGTTGTGGTACTAGGGATAGTGTAGCTGATGTCAGATGGATCTTAGCTGAAAGCAGGGAATACCAGAATAAGTTCTGTGTTTCATTGATTATGCAAAGGTGTTTGTGTGCACCGTAACAAACTGTGGCTGACTCTGAGAAGAATGGGAATCCCAGAACATTTGATTGTACTAATATGAAAACTATACTTGGACCAAGAGGTAATCATCAGAACAGAGCAAGGAAACACTGCACGGTTCAAAATTGGGAAAGGTGTATGCCAGGGATGTGTCCTATCTCCATACCTTTTCAACCTGTATGCAGAACAGATTATCCGAGAGGCTGGGCTCTATGATAAGAAGTGTGGCGTCAGGATTGGTGGAAGATCTATTAATAATCTGCATTATGGAGATGACACAACCCTGCTTGCTGAAACTGAGGAGGACCTGAAATGCTTGCTGCAGAGGGTCAAGGACTGCAGCCTTCAGTATGGATTGAGGCTCAATGTCAAGAAGACAAAGATTCTCACCATTGGATGAACTGGCAGCCTCAGGATTGATGGTGAAGAGACTGAGATTTTTAACAACTTTAGTCTACTTGGCTCTATGGTTAACACTCTTGGCACCAGTAGCCAGGAAATCAAAAAACATATTGCGATGGGAAAGGCTGCTGTTAGGGACCTCTCCAGGGTACTGAAGAGCAATGGTGTCACTCTGGAGACTAAGGTGTGTCTGATACAGGCTATGGTCTTTGCAATCACTTGTTATGCATCAGAGAGCTGGACAATGACTAAGGAGGATAGAAGGAGAATTGATGCCTTTGAGCTGCTGTGCTGGAGAAGAGTACTGAATGTACCATGGACTGCCAAGAAAACAGATTCATCCTGGAGAGGGTTAAACTAGGCTACTCCTTGGAGGCAAGGATTCTGAGGCTTCGTTTGACATACTTTGGACATGTTGTAAGGAGGGACAGATCCTTGGAGAGGGACATCATGCTTGGGAGGGTGGAGGGATGGTACAGAATGGGAAGACCCTTTATGAGGTGGATTGATTCAGTGACTGGGATAATCGGGATGGGTGTGTCAGAGGCAGTGAGATTGGCACAGGATAGAGCATGGTTTAGGGCTGTTGTACATAGGGTCGCTATGAGTCGCAAACGACTTGACGGCACAGAGACATAATGATCTGAGAATAAGTTTTGAAGAACTGAATAGGAAACAGTTTACTCTTTTTCACTTTTTTAAGGAAAATATGAAACACAAAACACATCAACAGAGAAAAGAGTGTATACAATAAGTTAAAGTGAAGTCTTCACTTAAAATGGGGAATGGGAGTAAACTGTGTTCAGTATTTCTCTTCACCTTGTTCTCCATTTTGACCTTACACATTTCACTCTGGCTAAGGTAGTTTTAGGCTTCACTTCAAGAATATATGAAGAAATACTAACTAAAAAATGAAAGAAGACTTAAGCACAGAAATTATAATCATGAATTCTTATTGTAATAAAACAAACTCTCATCCTTAATAATTACCAGATAAAAACTTATTTAAAAAGTGAAGATAACCTTTTCCCTTTGCTCTCAATTCCAACTCAAAGCAACACTGTTAGGACAAAGTGGAAGTGAGTTTCCAAGGTTGTAATCTTCACTGGAGCAGAGCTGTTGGTGAATCTGAACCACCAAACTTCTGATGACACACCTAGTGCTTTAACCAACCACTGTGCCATCAGGGTTTCTGTTCAACTGCCTTCCAGAAACCAAATCAAACAATGTGGAGTCAATTCTTACTCAAAGCTACCCTTTATCAGGTTTCAGTCTAAAAATCTCAATAGACGGTGGTACCTTTAAGTTGTGGTGTTGGAGAAGAGTGGTAAATATCCCATGGACTGCCAAGAGAAGTTATGCCTTGGAGACAATAAAACCAAAGTGCTCCTTGGAAGAAAGGATTACAAAGCTTTGTCTTACATACTCTGGGCATGTTGCTCAGACAGGCTATTCCTTGGAAAGGGGTATCATATTTGAAAAGGTGGAAAATCAGCAACAAGATGGACTTACACAGCACGGCAGTAATGGATTCAAATGTGTTAGAAATGAGGAGGGCACAGGATAGGATAGGGTTATGGTCTATTGTTCACAGGCTTGCTATGAGTTGTACTCAACTTTAAGGCATGTTAACAATATTTAGTAATGGTTAAGAAATCAAAAGATGTGTTGCATTGGGAAAATCTGCTGTTAAGGACTTTACCAGTGTAATACAAAGTAATAATACCAGTTTAAAAACTAAGATGTGCCTGATTCAAGTCATCACTATGGAACAGGAAGGCTGGTCTTTATGAGGAGGAATATGGCATCAGAATTGGGGGAAGACTCATCAACAACTTGTCTTATCCAGATGACACAACTTTGCTTGCCGAAACTGAGGAGGATCTGAGACGCCTGCTGTAGAAGGCCAAAGACTGCACTCTTCAAATTGGATTAAAGCTCAACATCAAGAAGACAAAGATTCTCACCACGAGCCAATTGGCAGCACCGTGATAGATGAAGAAGAGATTGAGATTGTTAACAATTTCAGCTTGCTCAGGTCTACAATCAACAGTTTTGGCACTAGCAGCCAAGAAATTAAAAGATGAACTGGATTAGAAAGTCTACCTCTCCAGGTACTGGAGAGCAAAGATGTCAGCCTAGAGACTAAGGTGTGCCTGATTTAGGCCACAGTCTTCCCAATTATTTGCTATGCATTAGAGAGCGAGACAATGACTAAGAATGACAGAAAAAAAACTGATGCCTTTGAGTTGTGGTGCTAGAGAAGAGTACTGAACTACTATGGACTGCAATAGAACAAACATGTTTGTCCTAGAAAGGGTGAAACCAAGTTGCTCCTTACAGGCAAGGAATCTGAAGCTCTGTCTCACATACTCTGGGCATGTTCCCAGAAGGGCCAAGTCCTTGGAGAAGAACACTGTGCTTGAAAGTGTGGAAGGACAACACTGGAAAGGAAGACTCTGGATGAGATGGGTTGACACAGTGACTGGAGTATTTTTGGGCAGGTGTGTTAGAGACAGGTTGGCTCAGCATAGGGCAGGGTTCAGAACTGTTGTGCATACAGGTGACTGACAGCACATAATGACAACAAAATGCATCTGAAAGTTTAAAGATGACATTTTTAAAGATGACAGAAGAATCAATGCCTTTGGGTTGTGGTGCTGGAGAATAATACTGAATCTACCATGAACTGCCAAAAGAACAAATAAGTGTCCTTGGAGACATAGATAGTAAAACTCTCACATACTTCTGGCATATTAAGGAGGGGCCAGTCCCTGGAGAAGGCCATAAGGCTTGGAAAGGTGGAGTGAATATAAGACAGGAAGACCCTGCACAAGATTGGGCTGACAAAGCCACAGTAACAATGAGCTCAAGTGTGTCAGAGATAGTGAGGTTGGCTCAAGTTAGGACAGGATTCAGGGCCACTGTCCATAGAGTTGCTATGAGTTGTAGTTTACCTGACTGTACATAACATTTCAGAAAGACTTATAGCTGACCCTCCAGAAGGCTTTCAGAGGCTGTAAATCACCTCTCAGGAAATAGCTCTGGTGGATTCAAAACACTCGCCTTTGGGTTATCAGAGCAACTCCTTATCCACTAGAATACCAAAGGTGCCCTGACAAAACCACAGTTCGCACAAATGATTTTCCAGTTACTTGACTTAAACCCAAATCATCTCTCAAGATAGTTTTTTAAAAATGCCCTTACTTTATTCACTGTTGGTGAGAGTGTAAAATGGTACAGCAACTATGGAAGGCAGTATGGTCCTTTCTCAAAAAGTTCAAATAGAGATACCATTTGACCCAGCAATTCCTCTACTGGGAATACACCCTAAAGAAACCATAACCGCCACCCAAGCAGATATATGCACACCCATGTTTAGCGCAGCTTTGTCACAATATCAAAGAGGTGGAAACAGCCCAGATGCCCATAAACAAACAAATGGAATACTATGCTGCATTGGAAAACAAGGAACTCATGAAATATTATATAAAATGGGTGACCCTGGAGGACATTATGCTGACTGAAAAATCTTGGTCACAAAAAGACAAATACTGCATAGTGCCATGGTTATAAAAGAGGACTGACATAGAGGTTGGGGGGAGGCTGAGAAAGAGGGGAATAAATAATGTATACTGCATTGAAACAGATAAGGGAGATTATTGTTTAAAAATGATATGTGATTAGGTATTATTGTCATGAGAGGAGTCCATAATGAAGGCAGCACAGTGGAGTGGACTTGTGGGAAGGGATTGTAAAACAATTAAAAGAATTTTTCTTTTACTTTTCAAAGAGAAGAGTGAATTGGGGGAGAGGGGAGGGCAGGGAGAAAAGTGCAACAATGAATGAACGGAAATTCAAAGTGTCTGTAAGCCTTCATTAAAATGAAATTTTTTTAAAAAAATGTCCTTACCTCTTTAAGTTTATTCCGAATTAAATCTGCTGTTGTATTCAGTGAGTCATCCTGCATATCTACTTTAGGTATGTCTGGTAACTGAGGCCCAATCAGAACTTCATCACTGCTGCTTGTTTTAAGAAGAGTTCCAAGTTTATAATCGTCTTCTCTTCTTCTTTTCCGCTCTTGCAGCTGTGTTGTTCTAGGCATGAATCTGTCGACTGCTTCTGTGGTAAGAAGCTTTTGTGCACCTGAAAAGGTCCCTGCATTTTTAAAAGTTTTCACGTGTTCTCTCTGCAAAGAGTTAAAGCAGTTATAATGCTCTGTTTCATCATGGTTTCTACCATCCTGAGAGGAGTTTGATGCTCTGTCCATACAATTTCCTGATGAACATGTACACTGTGAATAACAATATAATGGCAATTCACGCGAATGAGGATTCGAGCTCCTGGAAGGATTCAACGGCGCCCAGAGTGCAGGTGTCTCCGAGTGGAAGTCCTGTCTAAAATCCTTTGTGTCTTTATGAGCGGTTATCACTTTCGTCCTTTTCATGTATTGGTCTTTTAAATTACCATTTAAAAGAGGAAGGAAACAGAAATGATTGAATTATTATTTTCATCTTTCAGAAATACATATATTTAAAAACAAATATTTATCCTTTAAAATTAATGCTAGCAATTGCAATTCTAAGCATTTATTTCCTAGGCAGGCTAGTTTTCTTAGCTTTGAAAACTAAGAAAGACAAGAAGGGATATAGTGCCAAGTTTCACTCACCCTCTCCTGTCTAATTAGCTTTCCATTGGTCTAATTTCCACCTCCCATAAGTAATCATTTCCTAGCTTCTTTTTCATTTGGCCAGTTTTCTTTTCCCATCCATCCCAATTTCTTTTAACTCATGTTGTAACTAATGTGTGATACTTATTTCTTGCACCACAGCTTTTCTGACTTAGCTAAACTTCTAATACTGGAGATTTTCTACAACATTACATAGAATTCTGTGTTAAAAAAAACACACCAAAAAACAACACACCAAAACAAAATCAGCTTCAGAGTATTTTATTTTATGGATGTATCAAGCTGCTGAAGTCAATATCTTTGTTTTTACACAAGACAGTATCTTGGGTGCACTTCCAGGGTCTGCAGAGATGTCTGTCTAGGTCTTTCCTCTAACTGCACCACCAAAGAAGCATGGTAAAGATGTATTAAGGAGGAAATAAGATTGACTGTGTCTTGGTAAATGTTGACAAGATCAAAATGTGTGTGGTACATTATCCCAGTCTTTTTACTTTTGTATGTTTTAAAATTTTCACAAGTGTTTGTGGGTTTGTTTTTTTTTTTTAAAAAAGTCTTCAAGGATACAAACAAAAAACTATGTAAATTTTGGAATGCTGCAGATGAGAGCTTAACTGACATGTCCAAGGTCAAACTCATAGTTAAAATATAAAGATTCTATCATGCTACCACTCAAAGTTGGAGCAACACTGAGACCAACAGGGAGTTTAGCAGCATGTAGTTTGAAGGGTTTATTAGTCAAAAGGACTTTTCTAGGGAGCTCTGGTGGCAAGAAGCTGCACTGCAATCCTGAAGGCAAGTGGTTCAAATCCACTAGATGCTCCCCTGGAGGAGGGGCAATCTCCTCCCATGCCAGTTGGATCTGATTTGACGGTACACAACAAGAAGGGGGAAAAAAGCTTTTCTAGCCAATGCCTTTGACATGTGGATGGATGGGAATATATGACTAGAGTGTGTTAGCCTATCCACAAGCAGACTGGCTAGTCTTGCCACTAAACTGAGCAGATTCCGTTGCAGATTTTGAGAATGTCACTACCAACAAAGCAGCAGAGAATGCAGTATGTGACCTTCAGAATCAGAGATCCTTAAGCCAGCCAGTCCTATAGGAGAGCAGCACTGGCAGCAGCTGCACAGGGAACCAGAGAGTTGACCTTGAGGCTGTTACCCCATGAAACCAGAGCTAGATGCCTCCACCCAAGTTTGCTGGATGGCTTGAGGGGTGGGGGTGAGGAGATGCCATAATTGGCAGGACTAAGCACTTTGTAACATTTGCTTAAAGCTGTGAGGCTCAAGGTTTAAGAGCCTGTGAGAATACTTCAGAAGCTGTCCTGCTTGAGAAATTGTATCCTGTTAACTTTCCTAATAAACCTCTTAATTGTGAATATAATTGTGCATGCTCACTGAGCTATTTCAACGGATTTTTGGACCCAGCAGAGCAAGAAGTTGGAATTAGCAGAAAGATGTTCAGGAGGGTGGGTGACATGTCTGAGTTCATGAGAACTGGTTTTGTGCTGTGGATGATGAGGGCAGTTGCCCCTTGTGGAGTTAGTAGAGGCCAGATAAAGCTGTTCTACCAAGTGTTTCTTAAACACAAAATATTCACTCTTTGGGTCCTTAAATATGTTGTCTGGCTCACCTTCTCATATCTTTCTTATTCCTTCTAATTAACACTCTACTTATTAAAAACTCAGCCACTTCATATATCTAATTGAAAGACTTCCACAAACCAACATTTTTCTCCTTTCTCAGCCCACTGTGATCATTAACTTGTTTTCCCTTTCATTAGACTGGGGACGTGTGGTATCATACCAAGAAGAGTTACACATAGGAGCACTAATAACAGACTTTCCATACCTTTACTTTTAGTAGTTCCTGCAATATATGTCCTTCTCCCTTGTAATTTTTTCCTAGTTTCTTCAACTGTCTCAAATTCCGGAGCATAGCACACATGAAGCAATCCACCAAAGAAACTCTGTTCATCCATTTTTCTCTTGGCTATCCTAAACAGACACAGCATCACATGGTGTTATGAATCAAAATTTATTTAGGATGAAGGTGAACTATCATACAATAGGTTTATCTAAAGAGCAGAGTGCATGTTATCTCCTCTGGTTTGAAAATTAAGATGTGCTGTGTGTGAGTAAAGCAGACTGGAAACACGTACTGAAGATCAAAGACATCTGGATTATACAGCCTTCAACATGGTATATAACTCAACATCAAGAGAAAAAAGATCTTTATCACTGCACCAAAAAGACATCAGGACAGAGTAACGACTGAATCTGTCAATGATTTCATTTCACTCCACAATCAACATCCATGGTAGCCACAATCAAGAAACTAAAAGATGTGTTGTGCTGGGAAAACCTGATGTCAAGTGCTAAAGAGTAACATTGTCAGTTAAAAGGTAAAGGTGCATCCATAAAAAACCCACAAAATTTAACAAAAAATACCCAAAATAAGAGCAAAACCAAGAAAAGATAAAGGTGTGCTTGATTCAAGCCAGAGCACTTTCAACTGCTTCCTATGCACCTGAAAGTTGGACAAAGAATGAAAAGAGCACAGAACTGATGCCTTTGAATTGTCATGGTGGCAGAGTACTGAATATCCTATGGGCTGCCAGACGAAGTGCAGACAGGATGTTGATTAGAGGCAAGGTTAGTCTCATGTACTTTGGGTATCCTGTCCAGATGGCCCAGTCATTGGAAAAAGTTATCACGCTGGGGAAGTGGAGGGTAGAGAAAGAAAGGAAGACCCTCAACTAGACAGAATGACGTAGAAACTGTAACAATAGGTTCTACCATAGCTACGATTATGAAGATTGCCCAGAACCAAAGTTCAGATCTGTTGTTCTTAGGGTCACTAGGAGTTGGAGTCAAAGTTAACTCAAGGGCAAATAACAGCTTGCAGGTAAAGGAGCTCTGGTGGTGGTAGTGGCTTATATGTTGATAACATAAATGTTGATGGTTCAAATCTGCTAGCTGCACCTCAGATGGGCATTCTCCTCCTATAAAGATTTATAGCCTTAGAAACTTGCTAGAGAGTTGCTGTAAGTCAGAATTAGAAACCTGATAGCTGTAGGTTTTAGTATCAATGTAGTGATCCAAGATTACAGAATAAATCTTGGAGAGAGAAAAAAATGGCTTTTTTTCTGTGTTAAGCTATGAGTCCTTGAGAGTTAATTCACACACAGCCTAGCCTTTTCAGCATAATATGTTCTATAATAGGACTCATACATTAAAACAAAACCAAACCAAACACAAAGTATTGTAATACTACAAAACATAAAAGTTATATAATAAAGTACTCGGCCTGTATCTAGGTATAATGATAACAAATAGTTACGGACAGTTTACCATGTGCCAGAGAGTATCTTCAAAGTTTCACTTGTATTTATATCTCTAAATAACTCTATGGTTAATCGAAGGCACAGGGAGATTATATTACATGGCCAAGGGCACACGTTAGTTTGGTGGAGCGAGGATTCAAACCTAATGGAAATCCTACTACACTGAATGTTGTAGAATGTGCACAAGCTCTAGAAAATAGCACATAGGAATTAGCAAGATAGTGGGGAACTGAGATGAACATAGGATCCTACAGAATGAAGTGTTTTTTTATGATAGACTCAGTACTACATGTGGTACAGAAGGGGGGGGAGCATTCTTTTCATGAGGGAAGCATGGTTCTTGGAACTTATTATTGCCAGAATAACAATCAACAGATAGTTCAGCCTTCCTGGCGTAGAGAGCTGGCATTATGGTAGGCTAGAGAAGAGAGAGTCAATTCATGTAGGACCATAACAATAGGAATTAATGTTACCACATTCAATATAGGAGGCACTAGGGTAAATCGTTTTCCTTACATCCTAACATAGCCTCAAGAGATTTACCAAATGGATTTTAACAGAAATGGGAAATCAACTTAAAGAAGTTAAATAACTTGTCCAAAGTCATGAAAGCAGTAAGCACCAGAACTGGAAATTTACTTCACACATGGTTTCTCATCTACATGGTAAAAAATGTTAAGCACGGACTGACATGATGAGAGCAGTGTATTCATTCGTATGGCTAACCTTTAAAAGTGGACACAAATAAATGCTCACGTACTAGCCAACAGGTTGGTGGTTCAAAATCTAACTTGGAAGACAGGCCTGGACATCTGCTTCTGAAAAGTCACAGCCTTGAAAACCCTACTGAGCATTTCTACTCGTCATACATGGGGTCTCCGTGAGTTGGAATGAACTCAATGGCAATTATCAGTCACCACCATGACTAACTTAAAGAAGACTGGAAAAAAAACTTAAAAGGACAGGTTAGTTCAAGTAAGAATAGAAGACACCTGAGGCCAGAGTGGCAGCAACGGGAATGGTGGAATGAGCCACAGCATAACTTGCATATTACCTTGCACTCTGTAAATGCAGAAATTTAATAAGATAAACTTCTGTAAAGTCTTCTGCTGGATATTCATCTAGAGCATTATATTGTTCAATTGTACCGTATAAAGCAAATCGTTCTACCAGTTCTTTCATTGCTCCCACAGCAGGAACTCCTTGTATTAATAAATACTGAGATTCCAAATTGATTGTATATACCTAGAAGAAATGCAAATTCATCAAACGTTATTTCACGGTAAGTCTAGGATAAATACATCCTTTTACCAGGGTGTGGGGGGGTGTCTCAGTCCCATATCCGCATTTATCATGTCCTTATTTTTAAGAAAAAGCTTTTCTTGGAAATTGCAGAAAACAAAGAATGAACTCCCCCCCCCCACTCCCTCTGCATAAACAACTCATCCTCTAGTATCACTCATTAAACTCGTTTAGTTGACACTGTATCCAGACATCAGATTAGCAATAGTTTAGGTTTCTGGGGAAAGTCACTCAAGGAATATTTACAGGCCACTTACCGTGTACCAAACACTGCTTTAAGCACGGACAATATAAGGAATAAGACAAAGCAAGCCCTGTACGCACGGAGGTAGTAACTTAGTGGCTGGCTGAAGGTGAGCTAAAGGTAACTTCTACGGACCCCTGGTGGCCTCATCCTTATTTTTTTTTTCTATAATTATATTTTATTAATTTTCATAAACATTTACTGAGATTTTGGGCTTCCCCTCATTCATTGTTGCACTATTCTCTCTACCCTCCTCCCAGTTTGTTCTTGTCCAAATGCCACAGTGCTTGTCAAAGCCAGTTCTGATTAATCTTCTTTGTCAGTGTATCCTTTGCCATTCCCTATCACTCCTCCCTGAGAGAGACTTCACCCTGAGTCATAAGGAAAAGGGGATGGCGTATTCTCTTAGCTACTTCCTGCTGAAAAGGGACGCTGTGGGTTTCAGGGTGAAGATCTCTCACTACTCTAACCAAAGTGGACCTGTCTAAGGGTTTGAATCCACCAGCGGATCCCTGGGAGCAGGACCGGCAAGCTCTTTCTGTGCCACTTACAGCCTTAGAAACCTGTTGGGAGGGTCAGCGACCACACGGTTCCTATTCGATGGCAGTAAGACAGAAAGAAGATCTTTGGTTTCTGCCTCTCGGTTATTCACACTTCAGTCCGTTGAGGAAAGGGGCCAACAAGAGCTTCCCTTGCCAAGCCTCTATTTACGTGTGATGGAAAGATTAAGAAACACACATCAAGCAAGACAACGAATGGAACCAATATTACTTTACCTTGACAGCGCGAGGCCGTCGCCCCTCCCGATACTTGGCACGCGTGTCACAGACAGCCTTCTGAACATGATGCTCGAAAAAGGACCCAACTTCTCCCCCGCTCGACGCCATGATGCTAATTTGGCTCTCTCAGAAAGAACAACATCCGCCTTCCTGCATTCTCTTTTATCCAATAAGAAAGCGAGCCACCTAAAACCGTGCCCGGATTGGGCAGAGAATCGATCACGTCAGCCATCGTTTCCTGTGAGAGAGGTTACGGCGAAGGAAGTGCTGCCCCCTGGTGGAGCGACGAAGACCCCGGGTGGGTAACTATCTCTGCTTGTCGGTCCCACAAGAGGCGCGCTGCGAGATGCGCCGCGGGAGAAGGGGCGGGGCCGATCGATCTTCTCTGGGTCCGAACGATCTGCTCGGGGTCCGACTCCCTGGCCTGTCCCGATCTGGGGAGGCTACGACTCTTTGACGGCCAGTGAGCTTCGTTCGCCAGCGATGTGGGGCAGCGATCGCCTGGCAGCTACTGGGGGAGACGGGGTGGCGGTGACACTGGCCTTCACCAATGCTCGCGACTGCTTCCTTCACCTGCCTCAGCGGCTTGTGTCCCAACTGCACCTGCTGCAGGTAACGCGCAGGCCCAGGGACGCCGGGACTGTAGCTTGGGATCTGGGGTGACCTAGGCCTTTTAGGGACGTGACTGCCGTTCTGGCTTCCCTCGCAGCCAGATTGAACGAGGCACTGACCTTCCCGGCCCTGTTGGCCCGTGTAGCGAGCGATCTGATTGATGCCTCCTACGGGGCTGGGGCGGTCTAGGCATTCCATGCATCCTCCATCGTGTTTATTGCAGCTCCTAGCCTTTATATTAGCTTATTTTTTTATTCTAAGTCTTCTCATTAAGTGAAACTGGACTTTAAAAAATCCTAATAGTTTACCTCTGCATTCATATAGTGCCCTCATTCTAAGTTGGGATAGTTCCCCTGCTAGACATTTCCCGGGGTCTGCTTTGCTGCTTTTGAGATTAGGGAGAGAGACCCGGGAGAACCTGGACTGTGATGACCGGAGCGCCTCTTTGGAGCAGAAGGGTTGAGGGAAGTGATGGTTCTTCCAGCGCCACTGTGTGCCAGGAACATGCAGCGGAATTCGGGGTACTTGAAAATACTTAGGATTACTTAGACCTCCGAATGTTGTGCTGTTTCTCAGGTCCAACATCAGGAGAGATAAAACACCTGTATTTTCATAATTAAAAAGAGAAGCATCTGGTCTCACAAAATATGAATATTGCTTATGGAACAACAGGGTGCATGATATCCACTTTAGCTAGTTCATACAAGAAATAGTTTATGAGTTTGCAGTCATTTCAAGTATGCCACTATTTCACTTTACAGCCCTGTAACTAGTCTCCTAATTTCTTCCCCCCTAACAAATTCAAAATACTTTTGTTAATTATTTTTTACCATAAAGTAGGCAATCTTTTGGGAACACCATCATAATAATACAAGCGTGTAAGTTTCACCTAGGTTTGAGAGTTGGACATGATGATAAGCTTTTTTTTTATGATAAGCTTTTTAAATGCTGGGATAAGTGTGATAATGGAATTAACTTCTAAAGAACTTTTTGTGTATGTAGATGTCAGTGAATAATCTTTTATCAATAATAAATAATAGTAAATTGTTTATGTGAATTTCAGAAAAGCTTGTAAAAACTTTTAAAACCTTTTCTTTTTATTTCTTATTTCTTAAATGAATAGAATCAAGCTATAGAAGTAGCCTGGGGTCACCAGCCTGCATTCTTCAGTTGGGTAGAAGGCAGACATTTTAGTGAACAAGGTGAAAATGTTGCTGAAATTAACAGACAAGTTGGTCAGAAACTTGGACTTTCAAATGGGGGACAGGTAAGCAAGAAATGTGGTGACACTGAGTACTTTCTAATATAGTATATTGTTTACATGTGCTATTGAATCTATTCCAATATTTTGTACTCTTCAGAGGTCTCCTGAATGGCACTGCTCCCATTAGGGCTTTTTAGGTTTTTATGAGAACAGATTGAAAGGGTGACTGGTAGCTTCAAACCTCTGGCCTTTCAGTTAATTAATACTTGAGTATTTAACTATTATACTATCAGGCCTCTTTGTCTTAAGAGTACAGCAATGGAAATAAGTTCAGATTTCTTTTCTTAGGAGCTGAGAAGACACCTAATTAGTATGCTACTATAATGAATAAGGGCGATAGAAGATAAATCAATGCATTTGGAGAAGAGACTTGAATATACCGTGGACTGCCAAGAGAACAAATAGGACTGACCTGGAGAGGATGAAAACAGCCTGCTCCTTGGAGGCAAGGATTTTGAAGCTCCTTCTCACATGGTTTGGGCATGGTTCTGGGAGGGATCAGTCCTAGGAGAAGTACATCATACTTGAAAGGGTAGAGGGACAGCGCAAGAGAGGAAGACCCCGGATGAGATGGATTGACTCAGTGACTAGGGTAATGGGGGAAGGTATGTCAGAGACAGTGAAACGGGTACAGGACAGGGAATGTGTCAGAACTGCTGTACATAAGGTCACTATGAGTTGCAGGCAGTTCTATGGCACATCCCAGCGACAACATAACCAGTCCAGTATTTTCAAGTTAACTGTGGAATGGCATCATTTTTTTGTTATTGTTGTTAGGTGCCATCAAGTTGTCTGCAACTCACAGTGGCCCTAAAAACAACAGACCTGAACCTTGTCTTGTGCCATCTTCACCATCTGATATACTTAAACTGCTTGTTACAGTCAGTGTGGCAGTCTCTCTTGTTGAGGGGCTTCCTCTTGTTTGCTGACCTTCTCAGCACAATGTATTTATCTAAGGACAGATTCAGATTGATTGTTCTTAAAACAAAGAAGGAAGTTGTTGCTGTTGACTGTGACTCATCCTGAGCCAATCTCACTATACCTGACACACCTACCCCCATCACTCCAATTACTGTGTCAATCCATCTCATCTGGGGTCCTCCTCTCCCGCATGGTCCCTCCAACCTTCCAAGCATGATGTCTTTCTCCCAGGACTGGTCCTTTCTGACAACATGCCCAAAGTATGTGAGACGAGCTTCAAAATTCTTAATTCCCGGAAGCATCCTGGTTTCACCCTTCAGGTTTCATCTGTTTGTTCTCTTAGCAATCCATGTATGCTAAATGCTCTTCTCCAGCACCACAGTTCAAAGGGATTGATTCTTCTGTCACCCTTAGTCATTGTCCGGCTCTCTGATGCATAGCAAGGAAGTGCAGAGATGCTTGCCTGGATCAGGTGCACCTTAGTCTTCAGCACTCTGGAGAGGTCCCTGACAGCAGATTTTCCCATTGCAATTTGTCTTTTGATTTCCTGACTGGTGGTGCCAAGAGTGTTGATTGTGGAGCCGAGAAAACTGAACTTGTTAACAATCTCAATCTCTTCTCCATCTGCCATGGTGCTGCCAGTTGGCCCAGTGGTGAGAATCTTTGTTTTCTTGATATTGGGCTTTAAGCCACATTGAAGACTGCAGAGGGATATTTGTTTATTTATTTTTAAGTGTGTAGGATTATGCTTTCAAACAATTTGCCTCCAGTCTCTCTTTCCATGGTATTTTTCACTGTTCTAGAGCCATTGTATGTCAGTGTTATAAAACTAGTACATTGTCTAGCCAAAATAAAGAGAGTGTGTACTAAATCAGGGGGGTATATTTGTGCTATAGATGCTTAACTCCTGAGAGGTGACCATTTGAAATACTAGAGATACCTCAGAAGAAAGGCCTGGTGACCTGTGTCCAGTGGCCAGAGTCCTGAGACCCCCACGGGTGCTCTGACCTGGGGTGCTGTCACGAGTCACAATTGACTCAAGTGGCATCTGTTAGTTTTTGTTTTATACTGATGTGCACTTCATGATTCATAGACAATTTCACTTCTTATAAAATTTTATTTTCAGGATTATTTTTAACTATTTTAACAACATGTGCTAAGATGTATTTTCTTTTATAAATAGCTATGAAGTAATATTTCCAAATACAATGCCATCCTGCCTCAGAATAAGTGCTCACTATCAGTCACATGAAGGTAGAGTTATACATCTGTGTTAATTGTGATTAATATGTAGGAACAAATCATTTGCTCTTTTCGTAATCTCAAGAGTAGATATATATTGAATTACTTACCTAATAAGAGAATTTTGTCTTTTCTAGAGATACAAAAAAGCCCTTTTGAAAGATAGTCTTAAGTTTTTTCTTTTTTCCAGGTGTTTCTCAAGCCATGTTCACATGTGATGTCTTGCCAGCAAGTTGAGGTGGAGCCCTTGTCAGCAGATGATTGGGAAATACTGGTAAAAACCAAAACAACAAAAGTATCATATTTGACTACTTCAAAATATAAATGTCCTTAGATTTCCTTTGTCCAAGCGTCACTGTGTGTGCTGAGTTGGTTTAAGATGTGAGCATAAATGGAGATTGCCTTACGATGCAGAGAATGGGGGCAAGATAAAGTGAGTTCAGCTTCTTGTCTTTTGATTCTAGGAGCTACATGCTGCTTCTCTTGAACAACATCTTCTAGATCAAATTCGAATTGTATTTCCAAAGGCCATTTTCCCCATTTGGGTCGATCAACAGACTTACATTTTTATCCAAATTGGTAGGTATTGTTATGATATTTATGGGTCAGGCTGGCGTAGTTGCTAACTGCTTGGCTGCTGACTGAAAGGTCAGCGGTTTAAACCTACTTGTCACTCTGAGTGAGAAAGATTGAATAGACTGCGTCTCTAAACACTTGCAGCTTTGAGAGGAGTCTCCTGTGTCCAGCAGGGTGATTATGAGTTACAGTTGATTGACCACCAGGGGGTTTGGGTTTTGAGGTTATGAAGTTGCCATAATTCTCTCCACCATCACAGTGAAGAGGTAAAAGACACTAATGAACTTTATCGCATTTTCCACACAGTTGCACTGGTGCCGGCTGCCACCTATGGACGGCTGGAAGCTGATACCCAGCTCCTCATTCAGCCAAAGACGCGACAAGCCAAAGACAGGACATTCTCAAAAACAGATGACGCACACGGACAGTTTCATAATTACGGAGGAGACCAAGAAAGAATGACAAAAGAACTGCAAACCAAACCTCTTCATGCTGACAC